AAAAAAAAAAAAAAAAAAAAAAAAAAAAAAAAAAAAGGAGGTGGCACCTCGGCTCAGAGGTACTGCAAGACATCTGCTGGCTGAAAGGGGTTATAGGAAAAAACTGATTAAAAAGGACAACTGAGCTTTAAATACAGTTATCCTTTAAATGACCCATCCAGCATACATTTTATACTTACCTGCAAAAGTCTTGTAGATAGGCTCTAGATAGCATCAGAGGAAGAATCTCCTTTCATTGGTATCATTGGTATAGAGAGGCAGTCTAAAATGCACCACAACAGTGAACTGCCTTTCCACAGGACTGAATGCAAGAGTCTGACCAGATGGTACAGATCCCAGAGCTCTGCACAGTGAAGATCTCCAAGGAGTGTGGACATGTAAATATAAGTCTTGGAGGGGGACTGTTACTTTTGAAGGCATAACAATCAGGTTTTTTTAAGCAAGGTGCAATTTTCTCATTGCTATGAAGAATATCTGGGTTTAATCCAAGTGTTAAACTGGACTTCATCTAAAGACATTTGCTATACTCTCTATGCAGCTCACCACGCAAAGCACCAGTCGTTTTTAGGAGGGACAATCCCTCTTTTTCAAACCAAAACCCTCAATCATGTCACCCTCAAATGTCTTTTACATCCAATGTATTAACCTATAAATAACAAAGGAATTAATTTAGAGGCTGGATTACTGCCTTTTAGGTGCGAAAAAAATCATTAGTGAGTGAAACCAATAACGTTTTTTTCACATGAATTCTTCATAGTTGGTGAAACTGGTGGTGTAGTAGGGGTGTGGCCCTTACGTACATGATTCCTGAAAGATGTCCCTTGTTATCTCAAAAGGTTGTAAAAAATGCATATCATGGCTACACTTTTTCTTTCTTTGTTTTGGTTGTATGTTTTCTTTCCCTGCTAGGTAGATTCACCCGCTATAGTTATCCTGGTGATCATAGTCACAGAAACTGATGGGAAATCCAATATTCTTCCCATGGGGACAGCTGGTCTCGTGACAACTGTCTAAGAGGGGAGTTCCTCACTTTGTTGAGATTTCCGCACACTTCCTGTTGCATCTCCAGGACAGGAAGTGAAACCTCTCCAATAAAGCACAGACAGCACACAATAAACTAAAACTGAAAAAAAACTTCATCAGTAAAGAGGACGCTATAAAAAAAAAAAGTGAGAAAAAGTGTCATACCCTCCTCGAGTGTGGCGTTGGCTGTGCTTGGATATCTTGTAAGGAAGTGTCTTCTCCCCAAGGCTCTCCAGGTTTCGAATAATGGCTCCTTTTTCAAACAGAGCTTCCATTGTACGTTTCAGAGTGGCCACCGTCTCAGGCTGCAAAACAAAAAAACAAAAAATAATTAATTACAAAACCTGATAATAATTATAATACAACAATGACGGATTTATTTTCAGCTGGAAATCTGCCTTGAATTTTTTTCTTTTGAATACACCACAAAACAGATTATTTTCCAAGAGTTGGTCGGTGTGCAGATTATTACATGTAT